CTTTCACTTTGAGCTAAAATGAGTTTTGCGTCGCTCTGAGACATACGCGTGGCCCTTTTGGTGGTTTAGGTGGATTAAAAGTAAAAGTCTTGTGTGAATTTGAAAGGGGGATTGTGGAGGGTGACACTGGATTTATGAGTGGATTTACTGGATTTGAGTAAAAGGAATGGAGGGATTATTTGGTTCGAAAACAAATCACCCTGAGCTGGTGGCAAGTTAGTAATACTTTTCAATGATCAAATGTGTCCAAAAGACCGCATAAAACAATCAAATTCCTACATAACGTTAATAGCGTGATAATAGCCCATATGTTTTTTTTTTAATTATAAATTAGGGTAAAAGTTAATAACCAATGCTCTGAAAGAATATTATATACTAAACTTGGTAAATTGATTTTTTAGCGTCACAACAGGCTGGTCGGCTGGTGTTCTTCAGTCAATACACTTTTTTTCTGCATAGTTCGTGATCTTACTAAAATGCTGCTCTAATGGAATTCAGCACAAATTAAGTTAGTTTATGCCGAGTGACACCTTGAAATTGACTAAAACCCACTTACAAAGCAGCTCAAAGAGACTTCAAGGCAGATTTTTTTTTAAATTTTCTAGCAAAAGTAGTTTTTCATGGACTTTGCATGGATTTGCAAGAAATATTTGCAAACTTTAAAAAAATTATTTGTCCGTTGTCAATGTTGTGTTCTGATTTATAATATTAAAAAAAAAATTATATTTATTTATTTTATAATTATATTTAATTAAAATTTAACCAGTTAAAAGACAACAAAGAGCTCTTTTCAGTAATACTTACAACTTTTTAAGTCACACAGGAGGCCCTAAAAAAACAAAAATTCACGAGCCTTTACTTGAAAATATATCAAATATTACGGGCATCAGATTATTTTCACTGTTTATTTTTTGATACAAAAAAAAAGCAAACGTGGTTAACTCATCAGAGAGTTTAACAAGCCAAACAACTCTCTTTGCTGTCGTATCAGTTTCGTCCAATCTTTTCCCTGTTTTGTCAGTCATAAGAGACCTTTTTGCAGCTTATTCACAGATGTTTGATTTTTTTGGCTGTATTTTTTCCACTCATCAAGTTTTATTCCTCGAATTTGACGCATATAGATGGGCATAGGAGCAAACAAGCCTTTCGTTTAGCGGCGCGCAGTCGCCACGGGCAAGTTCAATAAAAGTGCGAACGGGCGTTGACGTGGAAAAAACCTCTGCAAAGGCCACGTATAATCTCTCCGAGAAGACAAACGACTACAGGCCACCGCAGTCTATAAGGAAAATGTCACATTAAATGTCGTTTTGACAGAGATGCTCTGGGCCATCCTGATTTGCTTTTCGCGTCTGTAGACACAGAAAATAAAAAGTAAGCGACTCCTAAATGCTATCGATGAAAAGCTGACTTTCAAAAGAAAATAATGAATGAAATGTTCATTAATTACTTTTTTTAAGGTTCCACGCTCTGAACGTTATAAAGGACAGTGTTCTCTGTGATAGTTCAATAAACATTGTTTGCAACTAACTTCAGTAAATATTATGCTTTTAAATTGAAATTTCTGGGCACAAAAACGCATCCGTTTTAATATGTATTTCTGAAGAAATTTCAACTCCATTGACTTTCATGTCTGGTGTATAAACTTACCAGCAAAAACAATAAAGACCAACCAACCATGCCAAATAAATGTTGGAAAATTTGTTACGCGTGGAGGCATTTGTTTTTAAGTCGCATTGATTTACGAAGCAGACTTGCGAATGTTCCTTATAAATTGCTCGCGAGCTATAGAGAGCCGAATTTATTATTGTGGGCTTCAGCAACGTTCATTACTTTACGTAAAGCAGTTATAGGCTTCATTTTAGGCAGACGTGGCAAATATCTTTGTTTTTATAAATAATAATAATTTACAGAACACTTTTTTTTTAGAAAAATAAACTATAGAACTTGAGACTTCATAATATACCAATTTTAACGTTCTCTAGAATTTTCCTTATATATAGCATCCTACAATAAAAGTGCCTATTAAAAACAAATTTTTCGTCTGCTTCCCAAATTTTCACACCGCAATTTCATTAACTATAAAATGAAAAAGTAAAACATAAAAGAAAAATTCAGACCTGAGAAAGCGGAAATTTTGAGAGTTCAGAGCATTGCAAAGCTGCAAACAGCAAATCCTCACTTCATTCAAATGTTGGTACTCATGAAAAAAAGAAAAAGAGCAGTTAAGAAGGTTGGAAAGTTCCAGCTTTCATTTTTTTTCCCGTTCGTGGGTTAGAATCGGACCTTTTGAGATTTTCCCGTTTGACTGGTCACACACGCGCCAAATGATTTCGTAAATAAACATGACGTGCAAACTATTTCCAACGCAGGTGCGTTGTGGGTGAGGGCAAACGTGTGACAAGAGCGCTCTTAATGAGCCCATTGTCGGAGTGCCACGCGCTGCATAATTTAATGAATATCCTGGAGTTGCATGCAAACTACAAAAATGTTAATTCACGATGGCAAATGGCGCAAAGGCATAAAAAGGTTAAACAAACCTCCCCTTTAAAGTGGAGGCACCTTATTGTTTTCCAGGGCAATCTCATAATTAAGCTGTGGAAACCATGGGGCACATTCCCTTATTAAAAAAAGCACCACTGTATACTCTCCTGAGAAATACTGGCGCGTTTGTCTGACGAGCATTAAATTTATGCAACTTTTTATTTATAATCCACATCCCTCAGGAAGAGGATATATTTTTTTCTACAACCACCCAAGAGATTAATATAAGAGTTTGATACCTTAATTATTAATATATTTTTAATTAATTTAAAATGATAACTTTTAAAGAATAAATTTGCGACCACAAATAAATAGTGAGGTTTTAGGCCGTTATTTGTTACATTAGACTAAAATTTGCCCGAGTTTATGATAAAGTGTCTTATTGGTTTGTGTTCTTCTCCAAAGGCAAGCTCCAATCTTAACAGATCTTAACGAGTTCATTTATTGCAATAGTTCAAACTTAACAGGTTTCAAACTTTCAATATTGCAAACTTTTTGTTGACAGGGCGAAACGAAATACGATTTTGCACAGTGTGCGCGTGACAATGTCTGAGAAAACTGATTTGCTGGGTGTCGTCGCTACGAGAATGTAGCTTGTGTGTTGTGACGGGGCTAGAAATTGCGTTCCTTTCATACTGCCTGGCCAAAGAAAGACGCGCGCTCGCCCACTATTACCAAGACAGGCAAGACACGCCAGAGAATTGCGCCTCTTATTGATGGAAAAAATGACTGATGGAGAGGAGTGAGAGGAAAATATTCCATTTTAATCTCTGTTTTCAAAAAATTTTATATTTCTTAAGCAACTGATCGTCGTAAACATTCTTTTACTGAAATTAACATTAAAATTATATGAAAAATTTTGTTAATTAACTGTTTTCTTTCGATAATTTTCAAACATTGGCAGTGATTTTACAATAAAATTTATTAATCTCTTTTACATTTTGATATGAAATATGTTGGAGAAAATAAATAAATAAAGAAATTTGTTCCATGATCTGCAGTTACAGAATATACGCATGTGGCAAAGAATACGGACAGCGGCACCCTTCACACATCTTTATGAAAGCGAATTTCTCGCAAGTCTTTTCACAAAGAAAAGAAGAAAAAAAACAGGAGCGCACACATCTGCAGGCCTTTCTTCTCGCGAACCAAAGATGTAGCTAGGGAGAAGCGCTGCTTTTTCTTTTGAAGTTTATTCTCAGCGTCCACCAGGTCCTCACCCGTGAACGAATTTTTGACAACTTTTCACAAACTGCTCGTCAAGCCAGCAAGAAAAAAATCTTGACTTTGGTGTGGTAATGTGAATGAAAGGGCGCAGTTTTCTCTCTGCGCTATCTCATGCAAAACTGTACAAACATCACCGAGTAAATATTGCATTTGATTCTGCGAACAAGATTTCTAGGTTTCTGTATTAGAAAGTTTTACAATAAATTTACATGAATTGTGAATTCATAACTTTACCAACGAAATTTTTAACATTTCGAATAGGAATAAAGTCATCTAATAAAAGGTTAAGAATTCGCATATTTTTTTAAACAGACAGGAATTTAATATTGTTAAAAGCAATAAAAATCTTGAAAAAAAAAACAATTACCTGAAAGGTAGTAAATTATAAATCATGCTGAAAGGAAAATTGATCAAAATTTTTGAATTCACAATATTAATATTTGCGTTTACAGTTCCTTTCAATCTTTTTATGGCATTCCAAGTCACTTTGTTATTTTATTATGCCAGCGCCGTTTCAAAAATATTGCCTTCGTCGCGCAAAGGAGAATTTCAGTGCGTGGAAAAAGGAATCTAAAAGCAAATAACCTGAAGTATGCGGACCACCAACTTTTTTAATATAAGTCAGCTAGATTACACCGGCAGCCTCCATTTGAGCACAGACGCCTGGGGGATGGAAATAAATTTAATACACCCATGCATCTTGCTGCGCAGCCGAGGAGAAACAAAGCATGAAAAATGGCTTTGTTTTTTTCCGGTTATTGTGCGGACAGCAAATACGTCCATCCACTGTGTGTGTTTTACTCAAGTGGCCTCTCTGTTACACCCATGTGCATAACACAGAAGAGTAAAACGAATTTAGCAGTGCGTAGTGCCGACACACTCGTCTCGTGAGCAATAAAAATGCAAATTGGCTCTCACTGGAGGGTTGATTTTGGAGGCGCACAACTCAAAAGGGACGCGTTCAAGTCAAGTTCGATCAGCTATTCTTACGACGGGAGTCCAATTTCAGCAAGAATTCAATCTTGGCACCCGACGCGAAATTATATTATTCGTCTTTCTGCCAAACACACGCTGCTTTGTTCATTTATTCCAGAGAAAAACAAAAGATTTTCTTGCTTTCAACGATTATGATTTATTGATACCAGTTAAAATTTCACTTTTTCCAAATAGATTTCAACATTTAATATACACTCAACATTTTGAATCTTATTATTAGTTTTTTATATTAATTTTTTATCTATTTTGAGCAAAATGATTTTGACTTTTTGGACACAGTTATGCCCGACTTTACATCACATTCAAATTCAGCAAGGAGAGATGGAGTTGTTTAGCGTGTAACATTTACATGATTCATGCAAAGAGGAGAAAGGGATGAGCAAGCGGAAAAGTTATGCAACATTTTGTTCCCACAGCTCGAGAGTTACGTATGTTGTTTACATACATGTAAAGTTAGTTATAGAGAGATAATAGAAGCAACACTTCTTGAAACTGTCTGCATTAATTTTACATCACAGAAAAATAATATTTTAGAGAGCTCATTTGTTTATCTGATGAGTCATTTTGCTCCACTTTTGCTTCAAAGTTAAATTGATTGTTGGTTTTAAAGGAAGAATAAAACTTTGTTTAAAGACGCACGTCTCTTAAATTTAAATTCAATTTGTCATTAAATCACTACGGCCTATTAATTTTCAATTACTTCAATTTAAAAAAAAATTCAAGTGTTTTAAGCACCTTTTAAATAATAATAATTTGCTTTTCAGCCGGCCTTGCCATCACCAGGCATCACAAAGAAAAAAAATATTAAAATTATTAAATTTCAAGAAGTTTTTTATAGACGCAAATTTCAGGCGCTTAATATTTTCTAAAATAAGAAATATTTTTATCCTTGGTAAGTCATATAATTTGGTTTATTTTTTTGTTTTTACTATCAAGCTCGTCAGTTTAAAAAATAAGCCAAATCAAAATTAATTTGAAGTGGAGAGAAACTAAAATAAAAACTTTAATTTAGAATTGCAATTAAAACATTTAGATTCATGTGTGCAAGTTTCCAAACATCAAATTTTTCTCTCTTCGAAAGTAAATCATATTTCAATACAAATAAAATTTTGTATTGTTTCAAGTTTCCTAGAAATTTAGTAGGTAACTTTGGTCAATTTGGTCTGTTTGTGTCAAATTTAGCATGTGGTTTTCACTGAAAACATTTCAACTTAAAATTGCATTACTCGTATCCATTTGATGATTTTTGCATATATGAGCAGAGTAAAAATAATCAATCGACTTCAATTTGCAAGTCAATAAAGAGTTATTTATTACACAAAAACTAACCAAGCATTGCTTAAAAAACTTAAGCATAGAACTGAAATTTTTTTGGGAAGAAATAAATTTCTTATTATTAAAAACTTTTTAAATGGGACCAATTTTGAGAATTTATTATTATAGCTGATTTCATTTTGATAATTGAATTAAAATAAATTAAACAGAGACTAATATGCCAAAACCATCTTTTAGTTTAATCGCTTATCTTCTTATTTCTACCCTGTTAAAAAAATCGAGCCAATTTAAAAAATATCTTTTCACATTCTTACAGTTCCTTATATTTAATTAATACTTCATAGCCCTCTGATGTGTACTATTTTGAACTAAACTCACAGGCCAATCAATCACAAAAAGCTTATCTTTTCTTTGAAAAATTAGAGCTGTCCGGTGACAATGATTGCGTCACCATGGGACGAGCTGCTGCCGTTTCGGTTGTCGTCCGGATCCAGACGTTGCGTGTCGCGGCGCTTGTTGGACTCGGCCGCCTCCATCCACGAACACAGGAGCACCCCCTGCCGTTGGCGGATGCTGGCGTTGCGGCGGGGCTCCGACGGACTTCCGCCGCTGGCGTTCAGTCTGCTCTCGGAAGAGGAGCCTCGGCGGCACCCGAAGACGTTCAGGAACGACTTGCGGAAGCTGGCGTTCATGAAGCAGTAGGTGATGGGGTTGCAGCAGCTCGAGCTGTACGCCAACAGTTGGAAGAAGCTGATGCCGGTGTAGCCGAGGCCCGAGTAGACTGCCATGTTGTCGAACAGGGCGATCGTGTTGATGACGTAGAGCGGCGTCCAGCACAGGAAAAACTCGAGCACCACCACGAACAGCATTTGGATGACGCGTTTTTTGCTCATCAGACTTTTTTCGGCGTTGGTCCGCCGCAACATGCTGTTGCCGTTCGATGAATCCTGCTGAAGGGCGCGTGGTCGGTTCCTTGTACTGCCGCGCAAAGAACTCTGCCGCCTGGTCAGCGCCGATCCATTGAGACCCACATACACCTCGTGGTTCCCTGCAACATCAAAAAGATAAAAACTAGTGATATTTTGCGCGAAAATCTTCAGGTTTTTTTTGCTCATATTTGTTGCTCTTTTCTATTTCCAACTTTCTTCAACTTTGGTATTTGGAACGCTAATTAAATCAAACAATCAGATTAATCAATCCAATCAAATGTAATTAATCAATTAAACAAAACTAAATATTGTTTTATAATCAAGCGTCGCTCAAGAAAAATAAATAATAATATAGTTGTATGTTGAGCCTTTGTTTGGATCGGTTTTTTTAGTAAAAAAATTCATAGTTGGATTATGTTTTTTGCTACTTTTTTTTGTAAAAGAAAATGGTTTAATATAAATATGGGTGCGAAATGTACGAAGAAACTCTTGCTTTGAATTACAAATGAAAACCCAATTTTATTTAAAAAGAAGCTAAAGACCCCTTCTTAAAGAGAACTTTACGCTATTCAAACCTTTTCAACACAAATAACATGCTGAAATTTGCCAGAACTTTCAGGGATGCTAATTAGACATACTTTTGAAAAGCAATTTCAAAAAGACTGCGGTTTTTTTATAATAAGAACTGCTTGCAAGCAAAAAATTTTAACAACTTCGTTACAAAGAATAAAGCAGCTTGTTTGCATGCGGGCGCGAATAAAAAAGCAAGAAGTCTGGTGCTGACAAAGAACGGCTGTCCGTGACTTTAATTGGGCTCGCGCAGGCAATATTCAGCTCACGTTGCAAAGATTTGAGGGTAATTTTTTCTCGACTCTCGAGAGACATGAAAAAGCGGCGTCAAAAAAGCAACCTGAGCTTGACGATAATTTAGCACACGTCTATCTTTCTTTTTAATAGCACGCGACGCGAGCAAGGCTTAAATCTCAACGGTCCGTTGCGCCGGAAAAAAATGAGAGCAATGCATAAAAAGGACAAATTTAACGCTGGTTTGATCTGGAAATGGATGGCTGTAATTTTCCGTGTTAAACGGTACAATTTAACGCTCAGATTCCTATAAAAGTGGAAAAGAAAACACACATTTTAATGTCGACTGCTTTTACATTTCAAAAGACCTAAAAAAACAAGCTGATATGGATATTTAGATTACTTTATATTATCCTTTCCTGCCATCAATGAGAGTTAACAATAATAATGATGTAAAAGTATGAAAGCATTTATGAAATATTCGTATTTCATTAATTTTTATGATAAAATAAGTGATAAGAACAAAAAAATGTCAACTGAGGCTCACTGAGGCGGATGGGGTCTTTTTGATCTCGGAGTTTTTAGCAAACTTCTTGCTAGTGGTGGTGCTTTTTTGTCCAACAATTCCTTTCTTTCTCAAATAAATGTTTTCAACAATTGTATGTCAAACAATGTTTGTTATGTAACAATTTGTACAAATAAACAACAATAATATTATATTTCCTATTTTAAATTTTCCTCATTTCCAAGAAACGCTGAGAACACCGACACTTCAAATAAGTATACTCTCTTCAAGAAGCATAAAATATTCTGAGAAACTTTGAAGGGAATTCACTGCCGCGATTTTCCGCCTCTTGGTAAAACTCTTTGTGCTGGGTTTGTGAAGTACGCGGCGCCGTCGAAAGTTTTGCGAGAGTCGAAGCAATTAAATATTCCTTAACAACTTAAAAGCCTCCGCATCTCTTCAAATAACCGTTGTTGTTTTTAATAATTCACCAAAGACGAACGCCAATTAAGGACTGGCTCCTTTGAAGCAGCTCTTTAAGCCAAAATCGCAACAAAAGATTTCAAAAGTTTTTCATTGTTTATGTTAAAAGAATTAAGTAAACTATGAAATTAACGCACAATTTATCTAAAACAATAGCAGCCGGTTTCAAAACTCACCATCTTTGTTCGAGTATCTTGCCTCGGCTTTCATGCCACGCCAAAGGGTGCGCGAAATCAAGACATAAGTTGCAGTGAGCGCGACGAGGGGCACGACGAGCAGCGCCGCGTCTAGCAGCAAGTTGTACGCTCGCTCGTAATCCAGATGAGGCCACTTTTCCCGACACTTGTGGTGTCCTGAAACAGTGCGAGCCAAACAGGGTTCTGCTTCATTATATCACTTCATTAAAGTTGATGCTAACAAAGTTATGCACTGACGTGATGGGAATATTGAACAGTAAACACCAGATAAGGCAGATTAAGTGCAGTGCAAGTTTGCTCCAATTCACCATTTGCGAAATCGAATACCATTGGTTCTTATGGCAGCCTTATCTTAGAATGATTGAATCTTTTCAATCCTAAGATATGTTGTAGAAGATGCAAAATAAAAAATATTGACGTTGGAAAAATCAAAATTGGTTCAGCGTGGGGCTGTAGTCAGGCGATCAAAGATTTGTAAAAACTCAAAAAATTGGCTTTGGTTGCCTACTTTACAAATCTTTGATCGCCTGACTACAGCCCCACGCTGAACCAATTTTGATTTTTCCAACGCCAATATTATTTATTTTTCATTTTGTACAACATGTCTTAGGATTGAAAAGATTCAATCATTCTAAGATGAAGCTATCATAAGAACCAATGTTATTTGATTTCGCAAATGGTGAATTATATATAGAAAAATGTCTTATTTCAATTATATGTGTAAAATAAATAAAGCTCTTTCAAGCGTATCTACGGTATCTACTTTAAAATTACGCCACGGTTTAAGGGCATTCATGACGCTTGAAATCGAGGTGGCAGATGGTTCACCGCTACTTGGACTCGCCACAATTCAGATTGGGCTGCTTTCGCATCTGCCATTGCAAGAGGAAATGGGTCTGGGATGGTTGAATGCATTTTGAGGAGTTATTCACGCGTATGTTTGTTTTGCGATTCCAGTGCGGTCTTTTGAAAGGGAGGGATGCCAAAGTGATGTTACTGTATATGATGTTTATCTCGCAACTTCTGCCGCTCGGGCTGTTGGCTTTACTTGTCATGCTGCTTAGTTACATATTCATAGGGTGGTGAGGGCGGTGAGACCCTTTGCTCGACAGGGATAATGGAAATTTCGCGTTAAGGTTACGTCAACTATTATCAAGTCTTGAGCAGTGAATAAAAACGAAACAAATAAATGAGGACTGTTAACTCCCCGTCATATTTTGTAAGTAAATTTCTTCTAAATGTTCGAGGGGGTCACTTCAATCAATTGAGATTCATGACACATGATCTGCTGTGATTTAAATTTGTTTATTAACCGACAGGTTTAATTATCATAAATTTAAAATTTATATCAACTATAAATTTTAATGTTTATAATAAAAAAATTATTTTATATGCAACAATCATGTGAAATTTGAATATTAAATAAATAAATAAATTGATTCCAAAGCTTCAATTCTGAAATTCTTTTGGTGTAAATTAAAATCGGTTTTCAATTAAAAAAAGTTGCCAAAAGAGCCGCATTAAAAATTAAATAATGTAATAGAAGTTTATTTTGTATAAACATGTTTATTAAATCACTGAAAAACATCAAAGGTAGTGTAGGCTTGTATGCTATAATTATTGAAATTCTCAAAATTATTGGCTACTACGATCTAATTTGTGCTCCAAATAAACCTAATTGACAACAATTCTGTGATAGCTTTAGGGGAAAGCAGCATCAATTTCAAAAAATAAACCTGGAAGTTATTAATGTAATAAAGATCGCCAAAATGATCAAAAGCGAAACCGGCAAATCAGCTTTTAAAATGAAAATTTCAAAAGATCAAAGTGATTAAGAGCGGCGACAGAGATAAAAGCGTAAAGAACCAGCAGACCGGCATTATTATATCACGCACTGGCGAATGTCAAAGAGGTTTTTACTTCAATATAAATTGAGTTGATTGATGCGCCCAACGACCACGTTATTTGGGTGGAAAAGAACCTCAAAGACATTAGCTGCCGATGTGGTCACGTTTATTTTTTGACAGAAATCGATGACGTTCAAAATTTCTCTCTAGGAGAGTTTCTACAGGAGTGAGCTATTATTTCGACATTGGTTTTGTGAAAGCTTGAAACTTAAAAATGTAAAAAAAATTTAAAATCTCAATTTATGTTCAAAATGTATTTTCTAAGAACGGTCTGACTTCAACACCATTTAAGCGAATATCAATTTTGATGGATTAACAACAAAATAACAACCTCTTTTAACGATTTTGCGATTTGTACCGAAACTATTTCAATCTTTGAAAAAAATTCTGTTATGTATTTTCATAATTCTTTAGACACATCATATAAGGATATAAGTAAAAATAAATCAGATTTTCAGTATTTTTCATTATTATAATTCCGTTTATAATATTTCATAATTGACTTTTTATTAAAAAAAAAAGAAGAAGCTGACGAGAGGGGATTCTATGAAAAATTGCATGAATTCCGCTTTCTTATGAGATTATAATAATTATTATGTGAATAATATGTGCGAGGACCACTGAAGGCGTAACTCGCCTGAGAGTCGTTTTTCACAGTAGATAATGAAGTGTTGCCTGAGGTTACTTGCCTTGACTGGTGGGTTGAAGTTCGGAAAGGGTGGCGACCGGCGTCATGAGCAGCAGGCTGCCTACCCATACGGCTGCGATGAGGCGGTAGGCGTGCGAAAGAGTTTGCCAGCGGCGAGACCTCAGCGGGTGGCAGATGGCGTAGTATCTCTCCACCGAAATCGCCACCAGCGTCCACACGGAAACAGACACGGAAACGGCTGCGGACAAAATTAAATTTCAATCAGAACAAAACCAGATGAATGATGTTTGACAACCAAGGAAATTGCTTCCAGTGGCCATATTGGTGAGCGGTAAAATCAAGAGCCGCTATATGGAACCAACTAATTAGGAATATTTATATAGATGCATCTAAGGAAATCTGTTCTACTATTCAAAATCTTCTCAATTGAGGAAAATGGCATGGAAATTGCGGAGAAATTGGTGCTTTAATATAAGATTCAGAAAATCTCTGAAACGCCAGGTATTAAAATCCTTTGCTTTGCTTTTCCTTCACTCAAAGACTAACTGGTTCTCTCTGGAGGCTTTAAAAAAGCTCAAAATATCATGCTAATTGTGAGAGGTGGTGAGTTTTTTTTTAAAGTTCTTACTTCCTGCTTATTTTTATTGCTAGCTTATCAGTGCACATTATATTTAACTGAAGTTCATAATTTTGGTGGGCTACATTTTGATAAATTTACAAATAAAAAAAAATATCATTGACTTTTAATATGAGAGTGATGAATTTATTTTAATACTTTTATCAGAAATAAGAAAAATCTAGAAAATGTCAGAACATAAAATTGATTCTGTTTTTCGATTGAAACAGATTTTTAACGCAAATAGAGTGATTAAATAAATCATACTCATCACTTTACCAAACTTTCTCACATAACCATAAATCTATGTAAACTAAACTGTAGGAGATTGTAAGAAGGAAAAACATGAAAATACTCTATGATATTAATACTTCTCCTCCACGGGTGTCGCAACAATCTCGCTGTGAAAAATGACCAGTCGCATAAAAAGTCAGGGACTAGAATTTACTGCCTTTGTTGAGAAAAGTATGCAACCGGTGCAGCAAGAGCGTTCAACCGGTTGCCATGCGAAACACGTTTATTTACATTTATGCTTCTTTTTATGTAAAGGCCGTAAAGGCCTAAAAGCTGGGAGGCGGTTTTCGCTCATAAATTCGCATCCACCAACTATTTCCTTTCAGTCTTGGACAAGAATTGCTTTCAATAATTGATGAGATTGAAGTGCGTGCATAAATAATAATCCTTCCATGGATCGAGTTTTCTCTGTAGGAAATTTGTTGTTCTACTTAAAATCTCTTAAAAGAAAGATAGACACAAAATATTAAAGACTATTTTGAGTGACGTATAGTGTAATAGTCTAAAAATTTTAAAAATTAAATAAAATCCTCCTATGGTTTCAAATTTATAGCTTTCTTATGAAGCCTTTTCAAGAAATTTTCTTTTGGTGATTTAAGGGTGTTTACAAACTTTTACTTCTGCTAAAAATGCAGTTGAAATTTGAATTTCACCTCAACAAATTACACTAATTTGTAAAAAGAAAAAATGGTAAAATTATACAAAGTTCAAAGCAAAATATTACACATGTAATTTAAAAAGAATTACCATAATTTAACAAAGCAGAATTGTAATTAATGTACACAATAGGGATGCAGCAAAAAACGTGATGATTTTCACTAGAGTAAAACTGGCTGGCTTTTAACATTTCACAAGCAATTTAACAAACCGGTGCCTAAAACAATTAGGCCACATAGAATGGACGTGTTTTCCAGGATATTCATTCTAACTTCCTAAACAAAAACCACACAAAAAATAAGAGAGAAACGGTATTCTGGTTTTGCGCGTGGGGCGGTTCACAATGCTGCTGCTTGTTGACTGCAGAGAGCCTGTGGCCCTCTTGACGCGGAAGAAAGGGGCAGAGTTCGCGATCCGCTCCCGAAGGGTGCATTAGCCCTCCATTGTACGGGGATAGTCTGGGGGCGAACATAAAGCACCAGTTGCTTCCGCTTGATTGCGCCTCTAGATATTGCATTACTCTCTCTCACGAGTCGGTGGTTTTGGTTTTCCCCAAATTAAATAATCGCCTGGTTGGTCGGAATTTCTTGTGCAAATTTGGCAAATTCAGAGAGATGAATCCGACAGGAAAACACTTCTCAAGTTTGGACGCTCGAGGGCCGTTAAAGTTTATGCCAGCAAATTCTTGTGCTGATAAAAAAATAAGTCCAGAAATGAGAGTTTGCGAACTTCCAACCCAAAGCATAATTTAGACTCTCTTAATAAATTTTTACAGCTTTCCTTCTAACATTAAGTGAAAAAACTCCCAAGCAGCCTGTAATGATGATGTTGCGACTCTCATGGCAAAGTTTTGTGGACCCACCCTTCCTGCTTATTTTTCACATTTTTCATAGAATAATTTAAAATTCAGAACTCTCCATAATCAAATAAACTCTGCATATACATAAAAAAATTCAGATTGCAGGTTATGTTAAATATTAGTGGTAAAAGAAATCTTTCAACTTTGATTTGATATTATAAGCAAATATTTTGGAAAAGTTTTAAATGTACGTTAAATAAATTTTAAACTTGCTGAAGCTTGTTCTTAATTTATTAAAGAACTTTTCACCTCAGGTGGTTTTAGTGTTTTGATTTCTTAGACAATTATGTAAATATTATATATTTTTATTTTATATCTACTGTTTATTTCAGTTCTTTTGGTTACATTTCATTTAACAATAAGAAGCAAGAAATACCTACAAAAAGAAGATACATCAATGTTTTAAATTTTAAAGATACACGTTTTATGATCTTGTTTGAAAAATTATTTTCAGTGGAACTACAAAAATAGTTTTTTCAAAGCTCACAAATTATTTATTTGTGGCAGAATCCTGATTGGAATTTTTAAAATGTAATTTTTTATATTATGGCGAATTTGTCAAATTTTCTCTAATATCAAAACATCAAAACGTGTCAACTCTGGAAAACGTGTGAACGACAAAAATCTCTTCTAACAAGCGGCGGCTCAAATGATTTTAGCCTGGGATTACAACGTGGGTCTAGCGGCTTAAAACTATATCCCCTCGTGATTCTATATTGTCTCTCTCTCTGTTGGCTTTCTTTGCACAATGGAATGGCCACAGCTCGGAGCTCGGAGCAAATATTTGTGCCTAGCTGTCCGCTCGTGTGCCACTTGGAATTCATTGTCCCTGATAAATATTTGCTCTTCTCTTGCAGAAACGGCAGTGAAGGGCTATTTACACGTTACGCTATTTTAATGACTAGCTTTTCAAACCGCATTATTTCGTTTTGGTCAGCTATTGTCAATGTGATGCCTTTGCCATAAGGGATGCTGGCAAAATAATGAGGTGGGTTGAAGCACACACAAAAAGAGAAAACCTTTGCTTTGACCGGCTTTGACGGGTGATTTTTCTATTGCAGAAAAGGTTGCTTTTGTTTACTTTTCGCTTTGTTATGTTGAAGAAAAACTATTGTTCTATATTGGGTGACTTTTTGTTTGGTAAGGAAACTTTTCGCCTCCAAAGTTTAATTATACTCGCAGATAAGTTTAAATTGTTTCTAGGTATCTAGGTAAAATTTAATACATATCAGAAGGTTATATCGAGGGAAATTTCACAGCATGAAGTATGAGAGTTAGAAGGTTGCTGAATCTAGAAATCGCTAGAAACAATGGTTTTGTAATGTAAAACGTTCAGCCAGATGATATTTAATTTGTTATTTGCTGTTGCATTTTTATACTTCTTTTAATTTTTATCAAACAGTGCATATTGAAAATTTCAGAATATAATATTTTTGTACCAAATTGGATGGCACTCACCAGATTTTAATGAGGGATGAAACCAGATTTCTTTTGATAAAAATTGTCTTTATTTTGAAGTTTTATTATTGTTAAATGAAGATCTTATTAAATATTTTGAATAAAAAAATGTAAGTTTTCAAGCACTAAAATTATGCATCGTGTTCACAAAGGGTTTCACAGAAAAGTCCTTTGTTTCAATTAAAAGAAGAAAAAAAGTTAATAAACCGCTTTAGCATATATCTGCTCTTGACTTCATCCTCTCGCCCCATCTAAAATTCGTTTATAAAGATTAAACCCGAGTTGAACGCCTACTGTTTCCAATTTATGCTAACCCGTTAATCTCGCGTGTCACAAAGGTTGCCTAACTTTTTCCGTCCATGATGAAAGGGAGCGCTATAAGTCTTTCAATCTCACTCGCTAATCTAGTCGGCGGCTGAATATTGCGTTCATCCATTAAATATGTGTATGCGCTAAGCTGCTGCAAAATAGTCGTAAAAGAACATTGCTAAAAAAAAAAAATGATGTTAAACTACAAAATTTACTGAAAGCACTGCAAAAACCAATTTTCGTCTAAATCTCTGTAATTTTTTTTATTGAGAGTTTAACTCCGAAAAGTGTAGGCTGCAGAGCGGCGAGTAGTCGGGTATTTATCGCCTCTTGATAAATACTCGGTTATGATCGAGTTTCAGTGAGTTGTTTACTGACACTGTGTGCCTATTTTTCTGCCAACCACTTTTACAATTGATTGTTCTGCTTTGTTGGAGAAAAATAAATGAATTGAAAAAAAGTCATAATGTCTCCACAGTGATCCAGCGAATAAGAAATCATTTTTTTCTTAATTTATGAAATTTTTCTTTGTTATATAATTATTTTTTAATTTATACAAAGGAATTATTTGACGGAAATAAAGTGCAGCCCAAAAGAATAAGAGGACAAAACCTTAGGGAAAACTTTGAATGTTGAAATATAGGTACAACGGCATAAGGAATCACTAAAAAAATACATTTACATATTCTGAAGATATTCAGATAAATTTAAATCAATTGAATGGTAACACTCGAGGTGGATTTCATGAAAAATTGAAACCGGGCGAACCTCGTTGCAAAGAGAAAATGAAAAAATAATAAAGGACAACTGACCCCAAAGGCGACCTGCGGTCTGCTGGTACTTTAAAACTTTGAAAATAATGTTAACTTAAACTTACCTTGAGAGTAGGGGATGAGTTTGCACAAGAGTTCGCCAAAAACGAAGTCCCGGAGCAGTGCGCCTATCAAGGTGAAGGGCATGCAGAACACACCGAGCAGCAGGTCGGACACGGCCAGGTTGAGCAAGAAGACGTTGGTGATGGTTCGCATCCGCTGGTTCTGCACCAACGTCAGAATAACCAACACATTGCCCACGACGGCCAACAAGAAGATCAGGCTGTAGAGTGGAATTTGGACGCGGCCCGCGTCCCACCAGGCAGCCGCTGGTCTCATCTGGTACACTTTGGTGCTCCAGTTGGACTCGAGGGACTCATTAGTGCCTAATAAATCCCACTGGTCCACCGAGTCTGTCACATTCCAACTCATAGCTCCTGCTCGATGTTCACATCTGCGAAAACAAACATGTTGCAAAGTTATGGATTTTGCATGAATAAATTCAAAAATATTAACATTTTGAGAATTTACAAAAGTCAGCTACAAATTTTCTTTCTCTCCAAGAAAATGTATGGTCCCCGCGGGCTCCAGGCTCAACCGGGGTAAATTAAGTTCTTTTAATTTATTTTTAACTCCTCTGGGTCAGATAAATTACTCCTAAGCAAGAAGCAATCTTCTCCTCTTTGCTGGTTGTTGGATTGAAAAACTTTAAGCACTTTGAACTTTCAAAAATTTTTGTTCCAGGATAATAAAAAGTGAAAGCAAAAAAAAATACTAATTTTCTATTGTAAAAGTAATAATTACTAGTTACCATGATTTGTGACAAATCAGCAAACTAATCATGTCGATTTTTTTATAAGAAAAAAAAATCATACAAAAATAAATTTAAAATGCTTTGGGAGTAGAGCAAACAATTATGGAAACTATTTTTGATTCAGTGAAGATCAGAATATAGAAAAATTTGATTAGCAAAATATATTTAAAATAAAACAATTGAAGTTTTATGTTGAAACATAATTTTTTGTAGTTAAGACATTGGGAATAACACTCACAGCAACCACTCCCGTACGTTGTATCCTGCAGCAGGGGTCGAACAAAACTGACGAGGGTGCTGCTCTTGCAGCTTGGTTTTACCCATACCCACTGGTCTGAGTGAGCGAGCGTGTTGCGCGCAGCGCGCACCCCCCATCCAAGCAGCCTTTTGCATTTTCGCTTTCACTGGCCGCATTAAGAGGAAAACTCGCACAATTCGAAAATTAAATATTTAATGAATGTATTATAATTGAACGTTAATTTAAATCATACACTTTTTTTAATAAATATTGCTGCAATCAAAAATATTCATTTTGAAATTTTATATCAAATCATACAATCAATGAGAATTTAATTATTAATCAAAATTTTGCGTTATTAATGTCAACAAGTAAAATTCAAATGGCAAACATGTTGGATGAACACTTTTTACACCAAGACAGGTGTGGCAATCCATAAAGGCATAATCAAGGGATTTTTCTGCTGTTTTAGTGATATGATAAGTATTTTTCTCCATAGGAAATAGTTTTGTCGCATGGCGGGACCGGAAAAGGTGTTGGCAAACAGACAAAATTGACTTGAATAGAAAGAGAGAGCGCCGCAATTAATTTTTAACATAAAATAGGAAGGAGAAGGATAATGATTTTTTTTAAGTAGTATACAGTATAATGTAAATCATGCAATTTTTATTTCAGATTAAATTCATGGAATATAAATGGTAACTCGAGAATTGCATACTAAATCCATAAAATCAAAAGAGGATGTAAATGAAAAATTAAATTAATCCAAGATCATAATGGAACACTTAAAATTATTTATAAAAATTTAAAAATGGCAGATAATGGCTGAAAAGGTACAATATTTCTCAATATAAATGACAACTAAAAATCACTAAAAATTTGGCGACATATTTGTTTTGCCTGTTTGTGGTCCGTCTTAAAGTTACTGATTGTGAACATTTCTCTAAAAATAAGACACAGATATTATTCTTGGTTTCAATTATCTATTGCTAGCTCACGACTTAAGAGGTAAAAATGAGGTTGTAGTTAAATTTTATTTTATTAATTTTTTCATGCATGTATTTTGTTTTTGTTATTAATAAGGCATCAGTTTTCAGGCATTACAAGGTAGCGCAAGGACAATGAACAAATATCATAGTGATAATTATTGTCGGAATAAGGGAAAGACCAAACGAGATCACCGTGGTGCCATTTCAAGCTGCTCCCATATTCAAATTTCCTTGTTCTGCATGGTTTTGCGTAACTGACAGTAATGGTGTACAGAACATTCTCTTTGAGAAGCACATGTTCAGGGAACAAAAGAAAGTCTTCATATTTGGATTCGTTCAATCCCTTGAATTCCACAAAAGCCAGGGGTTTCAATGATGTGGCACTGCTTGTCACTTGACATGAAATATCAAGCTCCTGAGCAGAATTGTCACGATTCATGGAAAACAATCGAACACCAGTCAAGACAAATCCTTCACTCTCCGTTACAAAATACACATCGGTCTTAGATATTTGTTCCAGTTGAATCACACTGTCGTCTCCATGTTCATTGAACTTGGCAGTGAACTTCTTCGGATGCAGATTTCTAAATTTTAGCTTATCAGTGAAGCCAAAAGGCATGGGACATTTGTTTCCCATTGCCAAATTCATAAAAATCTGCACCTTTTCTTTGTCAGTGAGAAAAAGATCACCATGTAAATTCATGCTCGAAAACTGGTAGAAGTCAAAATTCCTAAAACGAATGAATCGCAAGGCCTTGTCGATCAATTCTCTGACGCTCTGTTCTTCGATGGCTTGTGTAGTACCCCACAACACAAGGGCATCAAAAAGATTTTCCTCCGTGGTCATTAGATGATCCATTTGCAAAATTTCTGCTATGGTCTCGATCGGGGCGCTGTACCAGGCAGGAGAACTGCAAATGACCTCAATTTCCTTTGATATGACCTGCATGGTTGTAAGTATTTTAGTTTATGTTTTAAGTTATTTGAGCATGTAAGATAAAAGCAACTCACTGAAAGGACAGAGTCCAGACGATCATCCCTATACATTTTGAAGCACTCGTAAACTGGAATCACCTCTCTGGGTTCACACTTGGCCATGAAATCAGCAGCAAGTTTTAGGAGTTTTTCTAACTGCCAAACATGGGCAAATCTGTAAACTTTGATCGCAAGCTGAAGGTCCTCTAGCTGGTTGACATTTCCGTATATATGCCTATGATTAAAAAGTTTCATAAATATATAATTTGCTAAGAAAATCTTTTTAATTCATACCTCATGGCAAAGTCAAATGTTTCTGGTAATGTGTCAGAAAAATTTATGGTGTCGTCCTTGTTTTTGGATGCTTCGTTGAAATGTCCAGTCAGCATCACTGCAAAAATGTTGCTGGCTCTGGCAAGGACCACCTTGTGACACTTGAAAATCTGAAACACAGGTAATGATTTTCAAGTTTGAATCTATTGCAACACAAAAATTGTTTTATTTGCAAGGGAATATATGGGATCGTTGAAGAAATTATTGAAGTTAATTGGTTTCGAAACGGAATTTTATCTTTTATATTATTTTCCCTGATCTTATGAAAATTGAGACTGCGTGCGAGTGAAATTGATATTAGAGTTTGTCAGTAGTTTTTTTTTTTAGTAAAACAACTTGTCAAGTGATTTGCGATTTTTATCAATAATTCAAATCAATTCCAATTAGAAATTTGTCAATTAATTCCCGGTCAAAAAAATTTAAATTATAAAATTTTAAAATTATCATACCTTTTTTTCGATGCCAACAGCAAAAGAGCAGTCATAGAAGTATCCATGAGTGTACAGGTAGAGCTGATCTTGAACTATGTCACCAGTCCGTTGCCAATCCGTGGTGTCAGCAATTCGGTCCATCACTACTTGGTCACCCATTGATAGCTGGAATAAAAATGTGACGAGAAAAATAATTAAAAATTTTCAATTGTGACAAATTTTTGGTGTATTATATGTACTTATCGTACTTATACACTTTAATCGAAAATCGTCACCATAATTTTCTAATAAATATTTTTTTATTATTTAACAAGATTTTGCCAAACTTCTTAGACACTGTCACCAAGATACCATGATGCTTATTAGATTTTGGAAAAAATGACATTATTTAATTTTTAATTCATATTAAAATAAAATCATTTAAAAAGTTAAGTAAATTACAACTTTGATAAGAATATTAGGAAAATTATAATATGAAAGCTGAAAATTTTAAACAATTAGATTTGCCGCTTTCCGAAGTCTCTGCTGATAAAATAAAAAAGCAGCATACACATAATTATATAGCTTATTTATTGGATGAGAATGTTTAATTTTAAATTGACAGTTTTTATAGTCTTTTTATCATTTCTTTTCTATAAAGTTACAACGACACGCATTTATGAATCATAAAACATAAAACCAATTATGATCCACGAAAAAAAATCATTTTTTTTTTGCCGGAACTTTATATAAATGATAAGATCGAATTTAGCCAAACTAATGCTGAAATAAGAATTGAAGAACTCAACAGAAGCTGCAGTTGTAACAAAATATTGATAATTACCTCCGGATTAAACCGATGGAGACGGATTTTGGACTCTCGGCGTGGGTTGCAGGATAATAATGTTATGCAGGTTCACAATTAATCACAAGGACAATTTTTATGTTTTTGCTGGATGAAACGAGAGCTTCCAGAAAATTCAAATTAGACAACAGAGTGACCGGGGGAAGTGATCCTATTTTCTGCCAAAATAAAGGTGCGATTGTACCGGGAGATAGGTCTCAACTCCGACCACTCATTGACCGACCGTGGCGACCATGCTTAATCGGCAAAAGACAATGCTGGCGCTGTTCATCAAATTCTCCATGAATGAATCACAAATCACAATACAATCACAGGCAAACAATGTAATGTGAGCATGTGAGGCGTGTAACTAATGTAGTTGGCGACAGGTGGGCAGGTGGCGCCTTCGGTTCAATCATATTCAAAATTCAAAACAAAAATTTCCTGCACATGTGCAAGGAGTGAAAACTCATACACGATAAGATTTTTTGGGTTCTTTAGTGTTTTTCAATTGAATAAGAATTGTATGCACAGGTAATTGAGATATTACCTGAAAATGTTCAGAATGAAGTCAATTTTTTATTGACTTTGACTTGTTAGAATAATATTATGATTATCTCCATTTTGAATCATTTTTAAAATTTGGCTAAATTTCGTCATAAATTTTTAATTTTATTAATTGGACTTGGTTCCTTTAAGTGATGTTGATATTTCATTTGAGAAAACCTAACAACTCAAAAATGAAAATAAAATATACATTTATTGTTATTATATTTTATGAAAATATATATTGAAAAATGAAAAATTAGATTTGGTTGCTACTCTACCTGACACAGCAATTTGAAAAACAAATTTTTTATTTTTTTATAAATTATAGTTATAATTTTTCCAAACACATAATATCATATAATAAAAAAAATTATATAATTATATAAATGAAGATGATTACAACAAAGTAAAATTTAATTAATAATCTGTCAATTAGACAAATTGTAAAGACATTCTAAAATATCATATTATGCATCTTTTAAAATGCATTTGTCTGAACTACAGAAAAAAATGTTAGGAAGGGTTCCAGCTTACACAGCTTTTACTAATTTGAAGATCAAGGCATGAATGTCATTGTGACTATTTTCCAGTTCAGGAAAGACTAAGATGACTTCCTTGTCGCACCAAGTAAGCTGTGATCCATACGTGTATTTTTTAGTCATAACAGTGTCTTCCTGCATGTAGTTAACTGAAACAGTGTAGCTGACATCTTTTTTAATCAAGACATGGTCCGAGAAGATGAGACAATCATCTGACTCCTTCCTGATCTTATCATTGAAGGCAAGAATTCTATGAGAAGACAGGGCACTGGACACACTGCAGTAAATTTGTAGTTTCTTCTCTTTATTTGTGGCCGAGAGGCATTGGAGCCGAACGCCTGTCAACACAAGGCCTTCGCAAGGCGTTTGAAATTTCAGCACTGAAAAGGGAGACGCTCTGTCCATAAGAACACATCAGAAACGATTCTCGTGGTGAAATTATGTCTGATGTAAGGCTGCAAACCAAGATTTCTAAAGATCAACAAATTGCAGAAGCCATCTGGCAAGAAGTGGTCTTTGCCAGTTTCAATGGCCATGAGAATCTTCAGCTTTTCACCATCGGTCAGCACGTCTTCAGTTTTCTCACACAGCAACACAAATTCGGAGGGCTCCAAGTTGCGGAAACGAATCATTTTCAAAGGCACGTCAATCAAAAGTCTGATTTGCTCAGCATTCGTTTCTTGCGCTTTTCCCCACCTGATAATGGCATCAAAGAGATCAGTCTCCGAAGCGATACTCAGGAAGTCCAGCTGAAGGACATCGATGACGGTCTGCTTTGAAGCTTTCAGCCAAGATGATGAGACAATTACAGCCTTGGTTTTTTCCATAATGACCTTTGGAAAAAAAGAAATAATTTTTTTTTAATTACTTTCGTAAATACAGGCTTACAGTCAGGGGAAATTCCAGTTGTGGGCAGTTGAGCATCTTGAAGCACTCATAAACTGGCAAAGCCTCCTCTGGACCACATTTTTCCATAATAGCAGATGCAGCTTTGAGTAAATCAAGCAGTTGCCATTTGTGGGCAAATCTGAAGGCTTCAAGTGCTTGATGAATGTCCACAAAGTTTTCATTTTTTCCATAAACAAATCTGTAAACAAAATTTTAAAACAAAACAGTTGAAATTAATTTTTAAAATACTTCATTGCTAGATCAAATGTTGTGGGTGAGACATCCTGAATTGTAATTGGATCATCCTTCTCTTTTGACGATTCCTTAAAATGTCCAAACAGCAATGCAGCAAACACTTGGCTTGCTTTTGCAAGAATCACTTTGTGACATTTGAATACCTAAAAATTTGAGAAAAGGTCAGAGAATTTTATTTAATTATATCTTATCGAGTTATCAATAATTTGAATTTTAGTTTCACATTGGCTTCTCAAAATTTTGATAAGCCAATAATACACTTTTTTACTAAAGAATAAGGTGAGTGGGATTTATACCTTCTGATCTATTTGGCCGACGAGGAATGAGCAATCATAGAAGTAACTTTCGGTGTACAGAGCAAGTTCATCAAGAGTTCTGTCACCAGTCCGATGCCACTCGCTTTGAAATTTATCTCGTACCTCCGACATGACTGTATCCTAAAAAAAAGCAGATCCTAAAGAATCAAATTCTTAATTGCTGCTGGAAAATATATTATAAATATTTATTTTTTTCATAAAAATTTTCTAATATGTTGTATTATAATTATTTTAAATCTTACAGAAGCAGTAATTTTATTTTTTAAATCTGAATTGCAGTGAATTTATAATTAAAATTTTCTGGCATCACAGTTACCACCACCTTTCATTTTTATTCCTTGTTACCCTTGTTATAAATACATACCATTTTTAAAAGTAAAAAAAAAAATGCATGAAATTAAAAATTTTCAACCGTTTTCAACAATCATTTTTAAACTGCTGCGTAGTTAATTATATTTTAGCTGTTAAATAAAAGAATTGATGGCCCAATTTTTTTAAATCCCTTATTTTATCTCTATTAATTATATTTCACGAAAATTACCTTATGTGTCAAGCTGTTGGAAATGTTGGACTCAAAGGGCGGATTGATACAGGACCAATTTAAGAGGTGAAATCTCTTAATAATATAATTATCTGGCGATTTGTTCAAAAAAACCTAATTAACACGTGGAAGACTTGATTATGTGTAGCGCGCAGTTGGAATGCAAAATGAAGAATGGTTTCAATGGTTGAGCAGGGAAGGGAGCAGAAAGCAAAGTAAAAGTTGAGAGCAGAAGCGGAGCAGATTTTGGCGTTTTGCACGGGGGTTCGTACACGTTCGTGCAGCCGCCACTCCGCCAGTCAGGGATTGAAATTGAAAATACCTACCCATCGCTCTATAAAGAGAGAAAGGAAAAGGAGGGAGAGAGGCTTGTTTATCTTATTCTTATGTATATCTGCTCTAGTACATAATATTGGTGTAGTCCTCGAAGTTTAGTGTTATTCTGTGAATTTATTTATGTATAAGGAATTTTGTGGAATGTGAAATTAAATTCCATCCAAGCTCCGCCCCGGTGCCTAATTTTCTATCGATGTATGTACTTGTACTGTACTGTACATAATGTCTCCTCGCTTTATTTGCAACGCATTCATTATCCAGTTTTGTTTACTCTGGAAGCTTTTAGCTTTTTCGTTCCACTTCTCTTTGTTCTGCGACTTCTGCGGTCCTGTGTTCTTCATACATTTTCATTAAAACTTGATATTATGGTGAACGGTGGCCTCCTTATGTATATTGTGAAGTGTCTTTTTTTATCAAGGCTTTGTTTGATGCATCTGAAAATTCATATTAATTTATCAATTAATTTAAAGTGGAATCAAGAACAATCGAGGATGGAAAAGAGCCCATGCTGGATGCTTCAAAAGGTAAGTGAATATTAACACGTTTTATATTTTATAGTTTCAAACCCTATGTAATTAATATAATTAATCATGATAAAAACTCGATCTAATATTTATGCGCTGACTTTAAATTACAGTGGGTTTTGAAAAATTAACTTTTTTTTAATATTATGTTCGCCCGAGAAAAAGCGACAACAAAAACAACCATCACAAAATAGGAAAACTATTGAGTGCAATAAAAATTAATTGAAATAATTTTTTGTCATTTAATTGCTAATTTGCAAATTCTCAATGAACAAGGTCACAAATGCCACAAATAATTACTTTATTGTAACTTCTGACGTGAACTAAACAAAAATAAATACGCGCACTAATAAAGCCTCAGCAATTGAAGGGTAAATTAAATTTTTTGCAAAAAAAAAAAAATTAATTTTTGTATTTTCCTGTAATTAAAGGCCAGACCTGAATTTTTAGGCCTTTCTTGTTAGGTGTTTTTTTATTTTTTATATTTCAATATTCTTGTAGGGAATACAAAAATTTTAACAAATCCTATTAAACCTTTTTTTAGATTAATTTTGCAACTCATATGAAGTATGCTATGCCAAAGAATTAGTTTGACGAGCTCACATAATAAACGTGTGACTTAGTTTTGAACAAATTTAAATTTATAGAATTTACCTGCAAATATGTAACCATCTTTTATTATTGAAAATTACTTTTGCGCAAAGTCAATTGTTAAGGAATGACAACTACTTTGTTTTAATACAGAGCAATTGTGGCAGTTTTTATTATTTAATTGGTCAAACACATGTAATGGCAGATTTTTTTTTTTATCTTCTCGAAAGTAAATTAAGCAAATAAATGGAAATTTATTAAACTTTACAAGAAAAATTGTAAACTAGAATTGTTATATAATGTTCTACTCTTGCTCTCCCGTTGTAAAATAGAAGCTGACAGTGACCATTGGCACTTTCAACGAGAATGCAAAAAAACTTATTTTTGTAATACTCAACTTCCATGATATATTTTACATATTTTGAGGAGCAATAAAATTAAAAAGGAACAAAAACGGGCACAAGGGAAAAAGTGATATCAAATATTTATTTGAAGAAATTTTTTAAAATAAGATAGGAGATAATGGACAAATATAAATTTTATTTGTGTTTCCTGTTGGAATTTTATTAAAATATTACAACTAAACTCAAATCATACACCTTGAGGCACTGACACATATGCATGCACATCTCATGAGATGGGCTTACGCGCACGCACAATCAATGCAGAAATATCGTCATGGAAATTTTCAGAAAGTGTGAACAACAACGAATGGCCCATTACCACTAAGCGAAAGCGTTTTCTGTGTCTGTACCTTCTTGACTTGCAGGCCTCCTTATTTTGGTACATGATGTACAGGGTGTAGCGAACATTCCTCTTGAGAATCACATGCTCGGGAAAGCTGAGGGTATCTTTCGATTCAAATTTGTTTTCTCCTTGGAATTGCACATGGGTGAGAGTTTTCAAAGATGTTGCACTGCTTGTAACTGTGCAGGACAAATCCATCACCTGCCCTTTGTTGGCATGGCTCAGTGAGTGTAGTTGAACGCCAGTTAAGTAAAGCCCATCAAAATCCACTTCAAATGACAGACAAGAAGAATTTTCAAACAGTTCAATACAGTCTTCATCACTTGTAAATTGGCAAAAAGAAATCTTCTGATCTGGAGAAAGGTTTCTAAATCTCAGCACATCGGTGAAGCCATCTGGCATGGGACATTTATTTCCATTGCCCAGGTTCATCAAGATTTGCAGCTTCTCTTTATCAGTGAACAAACTATTTTTCGATCTCTGTATTAGAGAACAGAAGGCACTTATTTCAAAATTTCTAAAGCGAATTAATTTTAAAAGATTTCTGAAATGTTTTCGGTTCTCAATATTTTGGAAACGTAGCCATACAATAAGAGCATAGAGAATTCTTTCTTCTGGTACGCTCAAATTTTCAAATTTAAAGATTTCTTTAACCATCTGAACCGAGACTTGTCTCCATGATACGGATAAAAATACTGCACTGGTTTCCTTTGAAATGACCTATAGTACAGAAATTACAACTGGATTAATATTCAGATTATAACAGCTTAAAAGTTTTTAAAACTCACCGACATGACATAGTCCAGACGGTCATCCTCGTATGTTTTGAAGCACTCGTAGACTGAGATGGCATCTTTAGGTCCACACTTGGCCATGAAGTCAGCAGCGACCTGGAGAAGCAAATCCAAACGACATGCATGGGCAAATCTGTAGACTTCGATTGCAACCTGAATGCTCTCCAAGGTCCCCTCATTTCCATGAATGAATCTGAGTGCAAAATTTTCAATAAAATTAATATTATTTATAAAAAAAATTACCTCATGGAAAAGTCAAAAGCTTTGGCTGAAGTATCAGTAAAAACAGCAATAGGGTCATCCCTGCTTTTTGCCTGCTTGTCTTCGAAGTACTCGTTCAGCATGGTAGCGAAAACATTGCTAGCTCTGGCAAGAACCACCTTGTGGCACTTAAAAATCTGAAAATAGTAAATTTAATTAAGTATAACTCGCTCTATCTTAAAAAATTAAAATAAGTGATTCTCAACTTCTAGTGTAGCAAAAAATTATTAATAATGTATAAAATATTAAAAAGTATTGATGAGTATTGCCAAGAATATTACCTTATTTTCAGCACCAATTGCAAAAGTGCAGTCGTAGAAGTAGCCATGCTCGTACAAGTAGAGCTGATCTTGAACAATGTCACCAGTACGTTTCCAATTAATGGGATCAGCTTGGTTATTAATCGCCTGTTCACCCATGTCTCTTTTTGAAGCAATCTAAAATCAGAAAGGGAACAAGCAAGGGTTAGCAGGGCCGTCTGCTACCGCTGGTGCCATTTCCAAGAGGTATAAATATTTAAGTTTTCAAAATCGTAAATTAACCACTCACAATCAGCCACTGTAGCGCGCCTTTTCTAAATAATTTCTTGCTTAATTTGCAATATCAATATCTTAATTAGCCCACCATAATAAAGTTCCGTTTTCCGGCTTTTACCCTGCTTAACAAATAAATTATGATCATGAGGATCAAGAGTCGAGAGCAATAAACTTACGAAAATGATCGAAAGAAAAATTTCAAGCCGGCGTAATTTTTTTAATTGTATTTTTACAGTGCGCGCGGTTAAAATAATAAATTTCGATAGATTTTTATCAAAAGGGCGTAAAGGCGTAATTCATATTATTATATTATTATCAACCAAAAATCTTTGACGAATTTTATGAATTCATTAAGTATGAAATTCCACCTTAACTTGTTACGCGGTGACAAGTGTTATATTTAAATCAAGATAATTCTAGGTTACATAAAATTTAAAATATAACTTACCAATGTATTAGGCCGATTGAGATGGATTTAAAATTTGGGAAATTCCTGGCGTGGGCCCTTTGTTATTGAGCTTTATTGAGCGCGGAAGAATGAGCAGTCATAGAGAGCACGTCAGAAACCTGCTCAGGAACAGGAATGAAATGAGAAATGATACTCTAGGAACTAGGATACTAATTACTAATGAGATTCAGAACTAGAAGACGAAGAAAGAGGCTGCTGGACGCTGGTAAAGGCGCCGTGCCATTGCTTGCGGCCGCTTGTTGTTTGTTTACAATCAGAAAGCACATGTGCACATTAAATTGTTGAGATGATTTGCTACTTTGCTGGTGCGGTGGCGTTGTAGGCGTTTTTTTTCAATTTTTTAAGACTTTGAATTATCACTCGCGAGCGGTCAATCAGGTCAAAATTAAATAAAACAATCAGATTCCACAAAAATTAAATGAAAATGGCATAATATAAATTACATAGTAATAAACATATATATATTATAATATTCCTTCAATATTTTTAACATGTCAAGATTTCATAATTATTAAATTTAAGTTCATGATTACATAAAACACCAATTTTACAATATTTAAAAATCTCCTAATTTTACTTTTGCTCTTCTACTTTACTCGGAGGTACGATAAATTAAATTATTTGTAACAATCTTACCGTGAAATATCAATACATAAATGCATTTAATTTTGTTAAAATGCATATTTATTTTAACTCTTTACTGTATGATAATTCCCTTCCCAACAACACACCAAACAAACCCGTCACATCATGGCCCAGGAGGGCGTACAGCCAAGGACAACCTTTTTTACAGCTGGGAAGGCAGATCTGCCTGTGATATCAGCCCCTAGAGCAGGCCTGAATGCTATTGGTGCCATTTACAATAAAGAAATTTTTGACACAATTAAAAAATAATAAATATGTTGACATGTAATGGATTTGCTTTTTGAAAAAAAAGAGGACAACAAAATTGTTTAATTTTTAATATTAATCATCTGCCAAAGAATTTTGCAGAACATAGAGGCTTTTATGATTCAAGGTACATTTAAAATAAAAACTCTACACAAAAAGTTTAAATTTTATGAAATAATGCAGTCTAAACTATATCAATTTAAAAACTTTATTTTGTATTTTTTATGACGAATGGATACAAAAGAATTCTTTTTGCAGGTTACAATTAAATATTTTGAATGGCCGAATTAATATAGATTAGTATTTAATAACAATTATACTGAAATTGTGTTAGAGCGCAGATTTGTTTGAATTTTTCACATGAAACGACGCATGATCAATGAAGAAATATCATCGTGGGAATTGTCCATACACGATTTGAAGGACAGAAAGTGGTAGTCATCGGTGTCCTCACACCTCAAGTTCTTTCCGTAGTTAAATCTTCTCGACTTGCAGGTCTCCTTATTGTAGTAATTGGTATGCAGGATATAAAGGACACCTTTCTTCAGGGGCACATGCTCTGGGAAGCTTAAAACATCTTGAGGGCCAAACGTGTTGGCTCCTTGGAATTGCACACTGACCAAACTTCTCAATGCATCGCCTGCTATCAATCTGCAGGACACATCCATCACCTGACCTTTGTTAGCATAGCTCAGTGAGTGCAGTTTGACGCCAGTTAAGATGAATCCGGCAGAATTCACTTGAAATGACATTAGACTCATTGGACAGTTTTTGGTCAGCTCAATGTCTTCAACACGTTCGAGGTGATGGAAAGAGAAAGAGTATTTCTCTGGACGAAGATTTCTAAATCTCAGCACATTGGTGAAGCCGTTGGGCATAGGAAATTGATTTCCATTCCCTAAGTTCATCAAGATTTGAAGCTTCTCCTTTTCAGTTAACACATTATTGCTGTGGGCAAGAGACCTCAAAAATTCATAGGCGTCAAAATTTCTAAAGCGTATTAATTTTAAAGGTTTGTCAATCAATTCTCGATAGTTCTCATTGTCAGAGAAAAAATTGGAACCGTAAGAAGCCATAACGATTTTTTGATTCTCTGGCAAAGTAGTCTTTTTTTGAGCAAAAGCCCAATTTAAAAGAGCACGGAAAAGTCCACTTTCTGTTGTGTTTAAGTGTTCCAATTGAAGGATTTCTTCGACAGTTTTGACTGAGGCGTGTCTCCAGGATTCAGATGAAATCACAGCAAATGTTTCCTGTGATATGACCTAGAATAAAAATTTACACATTCAGAAAAAAAATGGTTTATTATGTCGTAAGTTTTTAATACTCACTGAAGCAACTGTGTCTAGAGGGCGGTCATCCCCGTATGATTTGAAACACTCATAGACTGTGATGGCCTCTTCAGGTTGACACTTCTTGGCCATGAAGTCGGCAGCGACCTGTTGAAGCATGTCTAAACAACATTCTTGGGCAAATCTGTAGACTTCGATTGCAACCTGGACGCTTCTCAAGGTCCTATCGTTACCGTAGATGAATCTGCAATTTAAAAAATTTAACTTTTTTAATCATATAGATTATATTGCTAATTACCTCATAGTATATTCAAAAGCTTCGGCTGAAGTATTAGAAAATTTGACAATCGGATCATCTCTGCTTCTTGACTCATCTTCGAAATGCTCTTTCATCATTGCAGCTAAAACATTGCTAGCTCTGGCAAGGACCACCTTGTGGCACTTAAAAATCTGAAAAAGAAATAATAAATTTTAGTAATGAATTAACTTAATCCTAAATGTTTAACTTCAGTGATTCTCAACTTAGATAATGATTAATTTAAAAAGATAAATATTTTTTTCTTGTTGATTTTTATACCTTTTTATCAGCACCAATTGCAAAAGTGCAGTCGTAGAAGTATCCATGCTCGTACAGGTAGAGCTGATCTTGAGCAATGTCACCAGTACGTTTCCAATTAATGGGATCAGCTTGGTTACTCATCTGATCACCCATATCGCTAATGGCCTGAAATGGCAAAAGGAACAAGTTAAAAATTAAAAATGTGATGATTCTAGGTTTTTATAGGTAAATAATAATTAAATCAGCTAAATATCAACGTATAAATTTTTATAACTAGGAAAAACGTAAAAAACCCGTTGCGTTTTGCCTTCTGGTCTAGGTTTTTTTTATAAAATTATAAATTAATGAGGGGGCTAGTGTGTCATCTCACTCAGAAGGTTTAATTATATAATGACAGGGAATTAAACTATAGCATTTAGTTAAGCAAAAATTAAAATGTTGCCATGACTTAAGACACAGACCGAGAAGACTTTCTTGGCCGCCTGAACATTAAAATAAAATAAAATAGTAAAAAATACCACAACTAGCGTAAATTTCGTCTCAATATTTTTTATAATTAAATTTTTCAAGCACTAACAGTTTTTAATTGTTAATTAAACCAATGCGCCAACAAACAAGGATTTATTCAACGATTTTATGAATTAACTTGAACTCTTACGGCCTAACTAAATGCAGTGGTAAGAGTTAATAAAATTATCTTAGCGTAAGCCCCACAAAAAAATAGTATTTACCAAAAGATTGGGCCGATTGAGATGGATCTCCAATTTGGAAATTCAAGCGTGGGTCGTTCGTCGTGAGGCTACTGGTGAGAAACAGGAAGCGAGCACGTCAGCACCTTTCAAAGTCCAGGAAGCAAATATGAATCATCAAATGAATGTTTGATTGAAAAGTGGCCTGGCGGCCGCCGCGGTGGCGCCGTGCTAAGGTCAACGCCGAGGTAGGGTGAATGCACCCTGAAACTGCGTTGAAAGTTCAGAGTGTTGGCGTCATGGATTGGTGGCGTTGTACGCTAGAATATTTAAGAATGGTTTTTAATGTAAGAATTTAAAAATCTTTTCCTCGCCAATAAGGAAAAATTGACACACACATAAATATAACAAAAGTACAAGCATAAAATACTTAGCTATTTTTAAGAGGTAATTTTCACGTGGTTCTAATAAAACTGTGCGATAAAAACTTAATTAATTATTTTTTAATCAAAATTTCTTATTTTTCATTATCCGAGGGATTTGACTTATTAAAATCTTTGTAGCAATAATAATTGCTAGAATCTAGATATTTTTATATTTTCACTGGAGAAATTTATTATTGTAACTCGAGTTTTTATAAAAATTAGTTGACCTCTAATTAAGAGCTAAAAAATTTCAATATTTAACACAGAATGATTTCAATAAGAACAACCTAAAAACTTAAAATTGTTAAATTGAGGTGCCTTATAGTGATTCTCATACCGCTCGTACCTATTTATGATCTTTTTATAAAATTAATACTGCTACTATGAGAAAATTATCGTTTAAACAGTAATTTGAAACAAATAAAAGAGATATTATGTCGTTTGACGTCGTTGAGCAAATGAAAGCAGAAAGGAGCATATTATTAGCACTATTAAAAAGCCTGATTGAGAAAAAAATCGACAATAAATAATAAACATTGTGAATTATTCCAAATAATGCAGGTTGTTGGGCAACAAGCTTTGCGCTGAAGCGTGGCAAGTTGCCTATATCTACGGGTCTAAATTAGTTCTTCATTCAAATCAACACTTATTACGCAAGGGAAAATTTGTTTATCGTTGCTTGAATAATTTAATCATGTAAATAATTAGTCTAGTTCTTACGTTTAAAAATAGCGGTCGACAATTGTTTTACATCGTTTTATGGTATGGTATTGGGGAGATGGGGGGCCGAGCCGGCCGAGGAGCATTTTTCAAAATAATTTAGTAAATTCATTGATTTGATTTGATTAAACTTGGCAATTAAAATTCTGAACTTGGAATATAAAAATTGAAAATTCTATTTCTTGAAGCACTTTGATCTAAATATAACGGAAAAAATTAAAACTAAGCAACTTGCATACCATTGATATCTGCTATGTATGCAACTGGACGTACTTGAAAGCCAAGCAAGTTGCCTAATGCAATGTTAACAAGGTTTAACAATTCTGCTTGCAAATAATTAAAGTTGGAAAAGGTAATTGTATGCATTGTATGATATTATCAATCTCAAATACTCTAGAAAACTACAAATAGTTTATGGCAATGCAAAAATCGTTGAGCTTTTTAATTTTCATCTGCAACTTAAATGAAACCCAATTTTTATAAAAAAAAAATTCAAAACAATAAAACATATTGACGATGTTTCCTATAAAGAAATAGCTGAACTATACAGTGCAGTTAGGTTATTAACGGAGAATAAAATACTAAATCATGCAAAGCGTTGTCGGCATTTTTACAACTGGATCTCGACGAGTGGCTAATTCAAACGCGAGGAAAAGGTGTGAAGAAAGCGTGCTCGGCAATTAGCATTCCTCCGGCGCTAGCGAATTGGCA